TGTGTGTGTGTGTGTGTGTGTGTGTGTGTGTGTGTGTGTGTGTGTGTGTGTGTGTGTGTGTGTGTGTGTGTGTGTGTGTGTGTGTGTGTGAGTTGAAAGGAAGGGGAGAACGGAGGGTAAGGGGGAGGGGAAGTGAGGGGTGTGTATATATGTGTGTATGCATGAATCTCTCCAGAGAAGAGGGAGAGAAGGAGGGAGGGAAAGGGTGAGAGGAGGAAGGGGCCCATGGGGAAGAAAAGGAGAGGGGAAGGGGTGCAGGCGAGAAAGGGGTAGAGGGGAAAGGGAAGAGCAAAGGGTGGTGGGAGGGGAAAGGCGGGGAGGGGGAAGGCGGGGAGGGGGAAGGAGGTGGCCAAAAAGGGGGGAGATTGCGGAAGGACAGGGGGGAGGAAAGGGGAGGGGAAGGGGCGAAGACGAGAAGGGGTAGAGGTGAAAGGGAAGAGGAAGGGGTGGTGGTGAGGGGAAAGGCCAGGAGGGGGGAAGAAGTGGACAAATAAGGAGAGCGGGAAAGGGAGGGGGAGGGCAAGCGGAGAGGAAAGGGGGGAGGATAAAGGGGTGGACCGGGACCGGAAAGGGAGAGGCGAGAGATGGAGAGAACAGAGAGAAAACAGCAGTTACAGCACAGAGAGACGGAGAAACAAGTACTATGTCAAATTTATGAATGCGAGCAAGACAGCCTGTGAGTTTTTTTGTTTTTTAGAGCCTGTGAGTTTCAACCAGGGAGAAACAGAGAAATGCAAAAGAAAATGGATCAAGGGCAATTCTCTGCATGAGTCCACAAACACGTCCAGATTCTGGAATTGAATCCAGGAGAGGCGGTTAATGGAAGGCCCAAAATTCGGCGAATTTTTCACCGAAACTGCATTGCTTGTAGCTACGCCGCGAAAAACCCCGAATTTTTGGCCTTCCATTAACCGCTAGTGGAGGTCGTGGAGATGTGCAAAAAATCACGTTTTTCGTTTTCTTTTTTTCTTTTTTCGAGTTTCCTTAAATGCATATCTCCACAAACACATCCAGATTCAGGCGTTGAGGAAACTCAACTATGGAAGTGGCACTCTCGGCCCCGGGAAACGGCCCAGCCCCTCAAGCCTTTTTGCTCCCGTAGGCTGGGCCTCTCTCTCTCTCTCTCTCTCTCTCTCTCTC